CCTATGTTCTATTTTTAGCCATGGCGGCCATCTTGGTTGGTTGGCCGGGTCACCGGACACATTTTTCAAACTAGATACCCCAATGATGATTGTGGCCAAGTTTGGTCAAATTTGGCCCAGTAGTTTCAGAGGAGAAGATTTTTGTAAAAGTTAACGACGACGGACGACGACGACAACGACGACGACGGACGACGGACGCCAAGTGATGAGGAAAGTTCACTTGGCCCTTTGGGCCTGGTGAGCTAAAACAGGGATATTCTAATAATACAAACACTATTAAAGTATTAAAGTTGCAAGTGTTTTTGTTCACTTCTTTAAATGAAAACATTCGATTTTTAATCTATAGAATGATGATTTGAAAATCCAAGGCTAACGTGACCTACAATGTTATACTGTTGGTTGTCCCTTTAAAGTCCTTTCGTATTTAACGCACTCTAACATTTTTGTATTTTTGGCTTTCCAAATGTTGGTCTCGAGCATTAATAAGGTTATTCAGGAAAAAATTATGTCGCGTCGTGTTGTTTTTGGTTGTGTGACATTTTATATCTTTTGCCACTGGTGTTCACAAAAACTGTGGAAAGTTGTTCCATGAAAACCTTTATTTCCTAGCTATAACTGGGTATGTACCGCTTCTGAATTGTCAACCTTGAGGCCCAGTAGCCAGTGCTTTCGTACTGATAATTTTCAAATAATAAATGTACACTTTTGCTTTATTTCTAGCTTATAGATTATGTAGTTGTAATACGATTAACGTTGCAACACCATAAAACCGCAGTCTGTTTCGGAAATTTTGTTTCAGTCCGTTTTGTTTTTAAAGCTCCAAATGTATTCTGTTTAGGCCTTAACGAACTATTGATCTTGATCATGAGAATACTAGTAGCAGAGGAATGTTATTCCACAAATATGTATATAATTATCATAGTTGTATAGGTTTATTTACCGTGATGTTTGCTCTTTTTCAGTTTGATTTCAGTCGCTGAATCTGTTATCCACGAGAATGATGTTTTCAAACGATCAGGCACAGTGATCTCGTCAGAGATAGTCTTTCCTACCTCAATTACTGAAATAATTTACTTTACTTTAAATCAAATTCCACATATGCACTGAGGTATACGTAGTTTGAGCAAAGCTCACAAAAAGATGTCCCTACCACTCGCAACGTTTAATCCACCATTTTCTACATAAGGAAATGCCTGTACCAAGTCAGGAATATGAAAGTTGTTTTCCATTCGTTTGATGTGTTTGAGCTTTTGATTTTGCCATTTGAAAAAGGACTTTTCGATTTGATTTTTCCTTGGAGTTCGGTATTTTTGTTATTTTACTTTTTTCCATAATTTGCCTAGGATATTCCAAAACAACAATTTCGGAAAAAATCAATAGATTCTTATTCATGTTAAGGGAGAGCGGATACAAACATAAACTGCTGTATGCGGATATTTCATGCTAAAGAAAATTTCGATATTCATTCGGATCATTTGAGTGAAAATCTGTCAAGCGGATACAAATGTCGGACGGAAGGACGTAAACACAAACAAAAGGACGAATAGACTGACACTACTATCACAATATACCACCCGCTTCCAACGGTATACCACTACTGATTTGTCGAATATGATAATTGTAAGCAAATCATGTCGACACATGTAACTTTTTGGTAGCGGACTGTAGTGAGTTTCAATATTGGGAAAAACATTTCACTCCTCTTCCGATATTTTAAAAATAATAGCTGCCTATCCGACAAGGAGAAATCAATATAGATTTTCAATTTTTAGGGCCTCGTGATGTTTTTGCTTACACTTTTCAACCAACTATTTGTGATGATTATATGTGGAATGTTGTCTTTCATGCTACAAGATCTACTCTGGTGTCTTGTCATTTCATTTCTTGAAGTGAAGAGTTCATGTCACATCGTTTTGCTGACACAAGTCACAAGATAAAATGATTGTCAAAACCAACTTTGAATGAATAAAAGCATTTGATTAGACATGTTAGGTTTTTAAGCTATTATTATTTGCGTTAATAATGATTGTACATCTATAAGAAAGTTAACTATAAGGGAGACAAAACATGAAATTGAAAATTTCGTAAAGTACATGTGTAATTGGCACTTCAAACTGAAATTGTTTTTTTATTTTTTTGTAAGATATTACTAAATATGAATTTTATTTTATTTTTAGGCTTTCCTAATTGAGTTTTATACAAAAGTACTTATCATTCTCATTGAAACAGGTACCTCACATTTTAAATTCACACGTGAGCACATGAGGTAAAACTGAATACAAACGAACCTATATTTTCCTTTTGAACAATCATTGCGAATTCTCCGTCTATAACCTTATGAAACACTGTATTGTAATCGGTAACTGTTTTTACTACAGAAGGGACACCACTTATAGTGTTAGAGAACATTCGTCTGACAGGTATTTTCATTGTCTATTACAGGTGTTACTACTCGAGTTGGAATGTATTAACCTCGCCCACACAAAGTATTCTGTGCAGTGTTTTGTGAACTTTTGTTGTTTTGCTTTTACTCACTATGTTGTCTGTATTTTCTTTTTAAATTTATGATTTTTTGCGTTCTTGGTATGTCCTTGCACCAAAAATGATTGAATTTCAAATATTTCAAGTGCATATATTCTATTACGACATTAGAAACACAATTAAGAGTACGATTGTAGAAAACGAATTATCATTTTAATATTATTCAAATATACTTAGGAAAAATGGCATTTTCGATAGGCTTTATTTAGAAAAAAATAAATCTTATTTCAAGCATATCTCATATTCCTTAGCTGTATTTGGCAAAACCTTTCGGACGTGTTATGTTAGGTCCGTACTGGTTTTCAACTTCAACTTGTTTTGCCCTTTATAAATCTTTTTGATTCGAGGGTCACTGATTATTCTGATGACGAAATAAGTATCTGACGTACACATTTTTAATCATGGTATCTATGACGAGTTTTTATAGAATGACACCAAAGTGACAACACTAGTACATACTTACAGTTGCTATCTACACATTAACTGCTAATAAAAATCCGACATACATGTACAGACGATTTTCATATGATTGCCATTTAATAAAGGATAACATTGGTAACTCTGTTTTTCTTTTTTTTTTTCGTTTTACGAAAATGTTTTTATCATAAAAAGAAGGTTACCTCGTCATTTAGTTCTTCCCACAGCTGATGGTTTCGTTCATCTAGTATATTATTGCAGACAGACCCAAAAATCTGAAACACACGACATAAACTTTAAACTGAAAAAAATAATACAAATGATTCGAATTTTAAACATATTCGCAGTGAACAACAGAGGTTTTTTGAAGAAGATGTATTTGAATAATGCATTGTATGTAAAAGATGGTATTAGATAGCCAATATCTATATACAAAACTTCACGTGAAAACCTTCCTTCTAATTGAAGTTATAGTCATTTTCTATTCCTTATATCGTTGTTAATTTTTTTTTCTAGTTTTTAGTTTCCGAAAAACATTTCACAGTACGAATGAAGAAATGAAATGATGCATTTTTTTACTGTTTCAATTTATTCAATGCAGCACAGCAAAAGGCAAAAATATTTAATGTTTTTAATGAACCAACCGAGTGAATTATTGCTCAAATGCCCAGTTTTATAAAACGAAACCGTCCTTATTACAGCCATCAGGGCTTTGATAAGGGACATAATGGATAAAGCAAGTCATTATGAATTTCCAAAAAATTCAAGATGCTGGCCGCTTTTATGGATCGCTCTACTCAAATATGTAATCATCGATCACAGAAAATTAACATATTTCATGTCATATCTGAATTGTAGTCCTACTGATATGAAAATGTGAAAACTGTTTCAAGTATGAATAAATTATAAAGAAAAATTATTTCATAATGACTGGTTTTATCCATAATGGTCACGTTATAATGCCCTGTTGGCTGTTATAGGCACTGTTTCGATTTGAGTAAATTCAAAATCTTTGCATTTTAACTATAATGTACTTAGGTGGTTAAACAACATTTTGTTTATTTACTTGGTTAATAAATGTAAGTAATGTGTGTTTGCAAAAGCGACATCTTAATATATATTATTACATTTATTTTCCTTCGGTTCCATCACTAGCAAAATTCACGAATGAGTAGGAGTCATTTCCAAAACATTTACTTTTATTTCTCAGTCTTATTAGGCTATGTGTTTTGAACAGTATATTAATTTTGCTTTACGGAATTGCGAGCATTTTAAAACGGTGCTACATGTATGCAGCATCTCTTTCAAGGGTTCCGTATGTGTATTTTGATGTGCTGATATCATAGATAACAGTAATATCTCGCCTTTTGTGATTTGTAAAAGTACTTTGCACTTTATTGTTTATATCCATATCAATTATAGTAATTTCCATTCCTAATATTTATTTCAGATTTGATTCAGTGCAGTGCCTTTCGTTGTTCCACTGGTCGAGATCAAGTGGGAACTTTTGAGTATTAAAAAGAAGTGTGTACTGCCATAATATGAATGGACCTGTCCCATGTTAAAATATTCATCCATGATCTTCTTTGCTTATATCTTCGTACATTTTGGATTAATAATATTGACAATTTTCTATTGATGAAAACCGTACAATGACTTCTTAAATCTTTTAATTTAGTTAAAGATATCAAATATGGGTATTCATTTGTTGTCTCACTTACATTTAATCACATGGTTTTTAACACAGTTCTATATATTTGGTATCTAAGATTTTTAAGTATCTTGAAAAATAAGTAAAACAAGTTACTGATTTGCCTTTTACCTTTTATAATTCAGCTAGAGAAGTATCTTTAATGTTTATCTGAAAAATTTATCAATAAACTAACCTCTAGTTGATCAACGGAAAGTTTTTCTGTGTTATCTGTTACATATCTGACAATGTCATCCAGAACAGTTGATGATGTTACCAGATCACCAGACCTTAATTCATTTTTCTCACTGGTTGTGTTTTCTAAATTCTCAAGAACAGTATTCACAACCGTGTCTACACTCTCTCCAGATAATAGTTTAGCTGACTATAATAAAAAATACCTTTCAAACATTGTACGGTAAAGATAACTTCATTCTCTTTATACTAATTTTTTATGAATGCTCGAAATTTTGATATTCATAAAAAAAATATAAAAAAAAATCATTCAATAGCTGGGAATGTTTGAAGGGTTTAATACATATATGAATATATGATATTTGTAACCATTTTTATTATCATTTGATACTTTATTAAAAACAGAATATGTCGAGACGAAAGCAGTGCGCCACTGTCTGCAAGACGCAAAATAACGGAGTTCCATGTAACTATGAAGTCTGAACCGAAACTTTGTTGTAACTTACGAGTACAAATTTATAAACAAATATTTCGCTAAAAATGTATAGGCACAACCAAAAACACGGGACAACTATTTGACCTTGCAATTACAGAAGGAAAGACATTGGTAACGCTACACGTGTTGGCTGTAAAATGGCGGGAATATTAAGAAATTAATTTGTGAATAAGAGGAAACTTAGAGGTATACATTAAATAGACAGCAATCTAATATCAAAAATTACAAAACATCATTTAGAGATCAACATAAAGCTTTCAACAATAGATCGGTATCTGTACTATATGCCTCTTAATCGCACCTGCAATAAAACTTTCATAGTACATTTAAAAGATATTTTAGAATATCTACAAACGCCAAATTCCCTACAAAAAACAAAATCACATCCCAATACGATAGAGACAGCCATTGACCGAAGTAGAGAGGCGAAAGATACCAGAAGTAGAAAATAAACTGACAACGCCATGGCTAAAAAAGAAAAAGACCAACAGACAAACAATAGTACACAAAACACAACATAGAAAGCTAAAGAGTGAGCAACACGAACCCCACCAAAAACTTAGGATAATCCCATGTGCTCCGGAAGGGTAAGCAGATCCTGCCCCACATGTGGCACCCGTCGTGTTGCTCATGTTAGTACAAACCCGGTAATAAGTCTAATTCGGTAGGGAAAAGGGGACGGTTCTGTAGTTACGACATTTAGAACATATCCGTTATCATCTGTGAAACGGATATTCCATAACGGTCAACCAACTCGTGATGGCGTCCGTAAAACTTACGAAGGGATGATTTCAACTTCACCACTTGGAACTCTTGGTTTAATAGCTTCCTTGTGAGCAGCAACCCTCGATCAAGGAAATCATGATTGGAAATACATTGTACCATCCCTTGAACATCGTATCAACTGGGAGATATATACTCCGTATGCAGGCGCTGCTGGAAAGTTGCTACATAGAAATGGAAAGTTCAAAATTGGGAAGCTGCAATCATTTCGTTTGTCGTAAAGTTTTGTTTCAACCGACCCTCATTGTCAATTTCTAGATGTAAATAGATATAAGAAGATGTGGTATGAGTGCCAAAGAGACAACTCTCCATCCAAGTCAAAATTTATAAAAGTAAACCATTATAGGTCAAAGTACGGTCTTCAACACTGAGCCTTGGCTCACACCGAACAGCAAGCTATAAAGGGCCCGAAAAAATACCAGTTTTAGTCAATATATGAGGCAGACTTAACTGTATCTGTTGTATCCTTTATCTCAAGTTCGATGGGATAAATGCGTTCAACATAGTCACCAAATTTTGAATTATTTAGTGATAGCACATCATCTCTATAGCGGAAAGTAAAGTAAAGTAAAGCTGAATTTAGTCAGTTTCATGAACATTTTCAATTGATTCTTAAGAACTCAAACATCAATCTTTTAATCTCATTAAGTAGACCAATACATACAGAACCATGCAAAACATACAATAAAAAGTAGAAAAACAAAGGCTCTCAACTCTTACCTTAAAATTGTTATAAAAAAAGTCCAAAAAACAAATCTCTTCGAAGAATATCAGAGGTAAATGAAAACTAACTCTTAATATCAAATCAGCTGATTTAAAATCAGACATCGTGCCGTTCTATAATCAATGCCTGTATTTCATGGAGGAACGTCACGAACAGTGCATGAATCTACGGTACATTTAACATTGTGAAAAATTATTTTTGTACATTTCGTTTTCATTTGGAATGTAAAAAAAAAACTCCATCTCAAATGATCGGTATTGGTACGAGGTTTACTCATATATGTTTCCGCATATAATTGATAGACTTTTTAATTGCAGAATGTTGTGACAAAAGCTATCACATAATATCCGTCAAATCCACTAAAAGCGATGGATCATCGATCATCGTACAGTTTTGGATGAATAATTAATATGTAACCGACCATTTACTGATATGTCTATATATCGTCATATAAACACTATAGTAATTACTGTAATTATATATAAGGTATAAACAACTATAAACTCGGACCCGGTCTAACAGAACATACATGAAAGTAGGATATATTTTATAACAAAAAGGTTCCTTTGCATACTAGTAAGTAAAATATTTGTGTAATATTGATATGCAATGAAAGCTAAAGAATTTGAATTGGGATTACTGTAGAACACTCGATGAATGATCCCTATAAATAATTAAATGAAATATGAAATTAAAATAGGAGGGCATATTTGCCCTGTTGTTCGAATCAGAGGTAACTGTTTTTGTAGTACCAAACTTACGTTAACATGTGCGTTCTAATAAGCAAATTAAAGGAATGCTGAACTTTTCAGCACAAGTAAGGGTAAGGTATAGTTTTGATATGAAATGAATGCCACTTTATTTGAACTTAATACAAAAAAGCTATGAATGCTTGAAACTGCAGAATTTAACATAGAAGGCAATGGGGCTATGAATTAATAGTTTTATTCCTAAAACATCTTCCCTAACTATAAAATGTTAAACCAATAAGTTAACATACGATGGTCTAAAAGAGGGACGAAAGATACCAGAGGGACAGTCAAACTCATAGATCGAAAACAAACTGACAACGGCATGGCCAAAAATAAAAAGACAAACAGACAAATAATAGTACAAATGACACAACATAGAAAACTAAGGACTAAGCAACACGAACCCTACCAAAAAATGGGGGTGATCTCAGGTGCTCCGGAAGGGTAGGCAGATCCTGCTCCACATGTGGCACCCGTCTAAAATATACGTAATTGGAGACTTGTATGCTTATTTTCTGCAGGCAAGCATTGTCATTGTAGAATACTTTTTTTTACCAAACATCAGAAGTATATTTGTCCATTTGAATACCATAATAAAACGATATGGTGTACTACATTTATACCTATCACAAGTTGGGAACCAAGTCATTGCCTATCTGTAAAAACATATTTCCGTTTCGTTCTTCAGTGCAATGGATCATGATGCGGACGTTTGTCTTTATTTTCAGTATATTCACATCTTGTCTATACCCTGGACAAGTTATAGCTTTACATATAGTATATTCACTTGATCGTTGTTTTTCTACAAGACTATGCACACGCTTGTGACAATATTGGAAATTATAAACAATTGATTCAGCCTGAAAACATTGTTTACCTGTGCATGGATATTTTGTATTGCTTTACGCGTACACAGGCTGTAATCTGGTTCCATCCACTTTCCACCATTGCTGCAGTATCTAGAAACACTACCCGTGTAGTAACCATTGCAAGGTAAAGTAAGCAGGTTTTTTTCTGCTGTTATACCCCATTTAGTATTAAATTTATCTATATTTTCTCCACAAAGAATTGTTGAATCTGCAATAAGATAGTCCATAATAAAATGCAAGACTTGTTCTCAAACATTCCGTTATATTACTAAAAGGCAGTAGGAATAAACAAAATAATGATACAACACTCATTTTCATCCTGTTATTCACTAAATGTATTTAAATTAGAATTGAAGAGAAGATTCAAGTCAGACGCAAAACATAACTTACAATGTCTTTTATGGGTTTTTTAAATCTTTTTTGGTGGTGTATTTTTCATTATTTAGATAATCTATTATTCTCTGTTAATAGAGACAGAAAAGACACACGAGACAATCTAAACTCATAGGTGGAAGATGGAACTACAACAATGGCAAAACATAATTGCTTAAAACCATGTTTGAAGCAAGATCAAGTTTTGAAATTAACGTCAACCACCGATCGCATGATTGTGACTACGGAATATAAATACATAGACAAAAATGGATTCGACGAAGCATGAACTTTCAATGTATGCTAGATTCCATATTATAGATGAAAATATTAGGACAATCCTCGTGTATCTGTATATGAATGTTTATGTTTCTTTGCACAATTCTTAAACGAAATCGGGTTTCCAGTGGCTCTTCTAGTTTCAAATGTTTAACTTACATTTGTTTTAGCAACTATACATGCTGAGCACATGTGCATACAATACTGGTATAAATGAGATCGGAATTATTCTTTGCAAACATTGTTTACATCCATTTTATTTGCCCTTTTGGGGAAAGTTGTCTCATTGGAAATTAAACCCTATCTCGCTAACTTGTTACTGCAATGCTCTTTAATTTTATATTTCTCCTATTTCATCAAACATAAGGAACTAGCTGCAGAATTTTGACACTAACCTTCAGTGACTGTCAGAGTGTGTTTAGAATTAGCATTACTACCACTACCACTTGTTCCAGCTGTATTCAGGGCAAAGCAAGTGTAAACTCCAGTTTTATTCAACGCAATATTTCTAATCGTCAAGTGAGGGTTTGTACCAGAATTTTCTACAGTATAGTGTTCACTGTTTGTTCCTTTGCTTATAGTTTCTACACTGCCAATTACCGGGTGGAATGTCCAGTACCAATCAAAAGCTCCTGGTGTAGCAGTAACATTACACTGAATCTGAAAACTAGCAGCGTCAACCATTGCTGCATATTGATTTGGTTCAACAAATGTAATAGGTGCACCTTAAAGATATCAATGATACTAGTTAGATGATAATACTTGCTTCTATTTTCTTTTACATTTGTAATTTGATTTTCTACTTTACGTTTTTAAAATCTTTAAATTACACATTCTACTCTCTCATCAATTTTTTAGGTCTCTACCCCCCCCCCCCCCCCCCCCCCCCCAAAAAAAAAAGATACAAATCAAGGAAAAAAAAACATAAACTGAGGGAAATGCATGCACTCAATAAGTCGCATGACCAGAACGTACGTACATAAAAATTAAGAGTTCCAATATTGTATATAGACTCAGAATTAAACCAATCACATTTCTAAATTTGGTGTTTCGAGCGCACATTTTGTAATCTGAGTTTTAAGTAAAGTTGAAGGACCGAAATATCATATGAGTAGACAGGATAAACGTCCACTGCAATTATTGCATCAACCGCCAGGCGAATCCACACTCGTTTCAAATGTCACAATAGGGAATAGGAAACAATCCGTAAATCCACAGATCATCCGACGTTTTTGGTATCATAAAAATTTCAAGATCGCCAAAACATGGCATTAGTGAGTAGAGACATATGGAGGTCCTGCTCTCATTTTACAGTGATAGTGTTTATATAGTCCGTAAATTTAGTTAGAGATTCTTGCAATTACGTAATTGGTGGATAATTATCTCATTTGCGATCATCAACATCATACCACTTCTTCTTAATTTTTTTATTTCGTATCAGTCAACCAATTCGTGACGGTGAGTGTAAAAGTTATTTACTGCTAATTTTTTTCAAACTGTTGGAGCAGTTTTGTTTCAAAAGCGCGTAACACATTTATTGAGATACATGTATCAGCGCCATAAGACGAGGCAGAGGTTATGTACTTGCTGCAGAATGGGATGATGTACATTGGAACGGTTGAAATTATAACGTATGTCATAAATGCTAGTTTGAAGTCGTTTATCTATGTCAAGATCAAGTTATGAAGCAGATCTTCTTGTTTCGGTAGTATCCATAACCTTGATTTCAACGGGATTTATGAGATGCAATCACTCACTTACAGCAAGTAAGATGTAAAGTAAACAATTTCTATACGAAGGAACCCTACAACCCAAGGTTAATCTTAAATCAACATTATACAAGAACAAGCCAAAATCATTTAAAGATTTGATTTGATTTGATTTTTGGTGTTTTAACGCCACTTTTAAGCATTTTGGGCTATTTCGTTGAGGCCAGTCTTTATTGGTGGAGGAAGCCGGAGTGCCCGGAGAAAACCACCGACCTTCGATAGGAAAACTGACAATCCTAGTCAATTAAGATTGGAGTCGAGTGCACTCGCACGAGAGGGGTTTGAACTCACAATCTCAGTGTTGAATGGCTAGTGATTACAGTAGTAACTACTTAGACCACTCGGCCACCGAGGCCCCATGTTAAAGATTTGACAAAGCTTACAAAACACGGATATATGATTAATTAAGTCCAAGAATTTCAATGTTGTCAATAGTAAATCCAACGAAATAAAATGTATACTAGATATGTAACTAATTGTTTTATTTAGACTTGGAGAAATATGCAAGGACAATGGGAGAATATCAGTTTAGGTGGTGTAGTGAAATCTACCAGCCACAGCCTTCAAGTACGGTTACATAAACGATATAAGCGTACTTACTTATGTAAATCAAAGTTGAACCAGGATAACTAGATGATGACCCAACAGCATTTGTTGCTCTGCAGACATAATGACCAGAGTCACCTGGTTGAAAATTGAGTATAGTCAAATAAGGTTCCTGTGTTGTACCAACTGTATATTTGTTACTGTTTGTTGTACTTAGTACTGCATGTTGAATGCTACCAGCTGGTGTGAACAGCCAGGTAATCCATGTTGATGTTGGTGTTCCAGTCACATTACAGGAAATATTTTGACTGTGTTCGTGGACAACATTTGAAGTTCGAGGAGTTACAGAAACATATAAATACCCTATGAAAGAAAGGTACGTGGTTAAAACTGACACTGAAACCATTAATTCTGTTTTAGAAAGCTCGTGTTATCCATCATTGAGAATATTTATAACATTTTAACATACTACATGTATTTAACATAGATTGTAAGGTGCAATAAAAAAAAAAACAGTTTTATTTCTTCACTTACTATTTTGACCTGAGTTAAATAGATTTGTTTCGGGACAGGTTGATTAGAATGTTCCGAATGAGCCCGCGAGTGGTGTGTCACTAAAATATTTGAATTTTGGCAAATCATTGGAAACATTTTTGCAAATCTTTAGAAGTATTATGTTCGTCTTTGAAAATTACAGCAACATTTGGTTCATTATAACCTATATTTCGTTATTTTCTGCTGGACTATTTCCAATCATATTTTCGCAATATATACATGCTGCTTCAGTACTACAAACACTTGGATCTACATATGTTTCTCATGGCCTTTAGGTAAATATTGTGTGTAGGTATCGATGTCACATTTAGATATGAGTGGCAATCTTCTATTAACTAATGTGTTTTAAGTCCAGATTCCTCACAAACAGGTAGGTCATGTCTCCTTTTATGGTCCTGTTGGGTTTAGCTTATTTATTTACATCAGTTGGATTCTACCTTGAATTCATTGGGAGATCACACACAAATAGTTGATGTCTATGATGTAGGTCCATAAATATTCGACTTTATATCAAATGATTCCCAATTTCTGTCTTCAGCGGAATATTTCTATAAAGCAACAATAATTGGGTCACGTTGGACGATACCCAAGGCAATCATGAAATGATCTTAGAAATAAAGGTCATGTATATTCTTCATATGAAACATGGTCAGCTGTATGCAGATGTATTTGAAGGACATGACTATGTACATAAAGACATTGAGATGTCATAGAAAGTACTACAACCGTCCAACTGAACTAAATGGAGGTGAATTGAACAATTATGACACCAAAATCACAATAAGCATGTCATGACATTCCCCTCAGATAGTATAAGTACTAACCTCCAGTAATTGTTACATTTCCAGTGTTACTGTTTCCTGTTCCTAGAACATTTGTAGCATGGCAAGTGTATGTTCCAGTATCATTTATCGTTGCAAAACTAATCGTTAATGAAGGTGTTGAAGGAGTACTACCTTGGTACCCTACGTCTCCATTGTAAATTATACGTAGCTGATTATTAGAATTTCTCTGCCAGTAGACTTCATTAACTCCAGCACTATCAGAGACGATATTACAATAAATTATTACTTGATCTCCAATTGCTGCAGTATAGGTAGTAGGAGAAATTTCGACTTGAGGCAAACCTAGGAAAACAAGGTGATAGATAAAAAAATCATCTGATGTCATTTGCAGAGCTATCACAAATATATCTGTACTTAAACATGTTGAAATGACAGATTTTGCAATTCTATATAACTATGTATACATTGTGCAGAAAAAAATGAACTAGTTTACAATGTATGCATTAGGAACACAAAATTTTGTGTAAAATAATACTCGTGACAAGTTTGTGAACATTATTACATTAATGTTTACCTAACGTTTTTTTTTGTTTGCCCTCAAATTAAAAACATATAAAAAAAGTTTTTCTTTCAAAGATATGAAGGTGAGTAAAAAAACTATCTAATTCTTGAAAATTTCATAAAGTAAATTGCATATGTGTAAGAATAGAAAGAAGATATCAGTCAAGTGGAATAAAAAAAAACTCTAATAAAAACAGACAACATCATCAAGAAACAGGATGCACTACACTCAAAACTAAACACGTGACCAATCGAAAACCGGGAGTACCTCCTGTACACCGGAAGAGTAAGTCGTTCCTGGTAGACTAGTGACACCTCCTAGTGTAAACTCTGACTGAAATCCATCTGCTGTTTCAAGAGAAATACACTTAAAATGGACACAGTGGTTATCATTACAAACCGCTTGACATCGTGCGACATTTACTTATTTTGTTGAGGTTTGTGATGTTTGAACGATGTTATCGCATACGGATTTCGCACGATTGTATTTGAATCTCAAATAGAACAATATATGCAAGCCTGATTTTGTTAATATGGTGCCAAAGCAACTGTTCTCAAACTCGATATGAAATGTTCAATAGTCATCAATCGATTAAGCGAAAAAAACGAATCCGGGTCACAAACCAAAACCGAGGGAAGATAATGAAAACAATTGTAATGAGGGAATAACTAACGATTTCTTTCTTTTAATCGCTAATTTATTGAAAAATGCATCATACAGTTTCTGATAGATGATTGGATCCATTCACTTGTATAGAGTAGAACTTATTCTGTATTATAAGTACTTCAAATGCTGCAAGCATATATTATTGCGACTGTTAAACGATAATCAAATATGCGAGAGTAATCAATAAGGTTTCTCGGACAAATAAAGCTATTAAGATTTAAAATGGAAGTTTTAATTTTTGCATAATCCCAGATTACGCAAAATAAAAGTAAAGATTGCAAAAATGTGAGTATCTTTGTATACAGTAGTTATAGAATGTTAAAAAATGTTTCTCTTCAACCGTTATATTATTTTAGTGTTTTCAAATTTAAGCCTGTCAATTTGTATGGTGAGCCAAATCCATTTTTTAACAAAGATTTAGAATAAAGAAAATAACTGTTTAAACTGTTACTTGTCTAAAGATTGATGACAATGTTTTTAACAAATAAACATAAAAGCGAAACTGCTTGGTTATCAATTTAGTTATTCAGAATAGTTATTGAATTTTTAGTAACAAAATTGCAGAAAGGAAATAAAAAAAGCTAGTTTTACCTTGACTTACATATGTTTTAATAAGTCA